CACTAGCTGCCCTGCCAGAATCGTGTTATTCGGCCTGGATGCCGGTGTTAAAATACCGATTCTGCTCCGGTAGGGGCCACATCTATGCACTGTAGAACAGCACCGATCAAACCGCTGCAGCGTATACTGAACGCTGCACAGATAGGCGGATGAAACGATGGTGCCATAGACATCTCAATTAGGAAAACACCAGCGGCCCTCTGTATTCATGCCGAAACTTGATGAGGTTCAGCCTAAAGCTGAAGTATAGCAAACTGTTTTTAGAAATTTTTTCTATCTTATCTCTTGCTTTCTGAGTTGGAGTGAGGTGGAAAACCAACGCTACCCAATACTGTGACACCATTTTACACTTTGAATGTGCATAACGCATGCCGAACATAGTTACACTGACAGTCAGATCATCCAGAAAGTCTTGTCAGTTACCTAATTCTTCACAGTAGTGTGTCGTTTGCGTGCTCCAAATCAGTCAGCCTGCTTCTATTCCGGCACAAAGGCAGGGCTGCTTCCAGAAGCATATCTATTACAAAGTTGGAAAGAAAAATTCCATAATGTGCTCTTAGGCGCAAAACTGATCAGGCCAAAGTAAGCTCAAACGCGACTGCGGCTGTTCGTATGCCGGGCTTATTTTCCCAGGCTTATCCTTCTGTGAAGGATAGCGCCAAATTACAGTGCTGTCGACTCAGTCGCAAACCGATTTGAGCAAAAGAAAATTTAAATTATGGATCTGGTGAAAGAATTTGGTGAGCAGTGGAAATATGGCTGATGCATCCCTGATCAAATGTAGAACCAACCTAGTTCTCACGCATGAAACGTTCTTTTGCTGCCGAGAATCGTCAAAATGTAATGTCAGTGCAACGCTTTAAGACGGTGTTGATGAAACTAATTCCTCTGTGAATTTCACAAGAGGATCTATCCCTTTTCTTGTTAATCAGTAAAATGACCAATTCACACTTCTCAGTTGCAACCTGGGTTGTTGTTTATGTCTATTCTTTCCCCAACTGCCACCCATATTCACGTTTCGGTACTTGTATACGGACACTGCTCGCTTTTAATTATGTGAAAATGCTTTCTAATCCCAGTTATTTGCCTTTGAAATTTAACCAGAGTTCACAATTACAGTTATTTTCATCTCCCTCGGGAAATAGAAACACGTGATCCGATTATTACTTCCACATGTTCGTGATTTAACATATGTGAACCTAGGATCATAATCTACATCGCATAAATATGCACTCCATGTTGTCGAAAGTTCTTTCTGTTGAACCGAGTGTTACCCACTGTTCACCAGATATGAGTCCCGATCTTGATTCAGTCCTATGGTTTTCAGATCCGAGTTTATTTACTGAAATTGTGATTTTTCCCCCACTGAGCAAATCAGGCTGAAGGGGATGAATCGATCGTTTAATTCGATGCTGGATGCTCCCATTAGATTCAAATCTCACTCTGACTATTTTGAATCAGCTTTCCTCACGTTATCTTCTATGATGACTGAAAACGAATTGTGAATCATTGTGACTCCATGTTTTTTTTCACCCGCACCCAGCACGGAAAATCTGTTTCTCCAAAATCGGATAATCGACCTCCGATCACCGCCTCCATGAGTCGGGCCTCGCCTCATACGGGGTCCACAGAAATTGGCCGTTTGAGTCAGGGCTCTAGACACAAACCAGCTTCAGTCGAATTGCGTCATCCAGCGGAACCGGACAATGAAGACGATGCGATTAGTAGCACTTCTTCCGAGGATGACGAAGAGGATTCTGAAGATGCGAGGAGCACTAATCTGTTGGTTTAGTGGCCTTTTCCAGCTCTTCTCGCTGCACGTCATCGCATTACCAGCTTGCTACTTTGTACCAATCGCACTCACTTATCAATCGTCCGAATGATCCACAGACCACTAATCCCGTGGACGTTTATCTCATTCGTATTCACTGACTAAAAGATACTTCTTTATTGATTGGTACTAGCCAGCTAGCCCACTTCGCCTGACAAATAACCCATGTACTATTTCTCGGTAATCCTCGTGATTCGAGAAGCTGTCCGGGGGTGTACCCACCTATTTAAGAATTACTTCATCTCTTTTCTGCTTGCTTGTTTTTATACCTCTTTCCTACTTACTGAATTATTTTGTTCAGTTTGTTTTATCACATTCCCCCTCCCTTATCAGCATCATCCAATCATTATACGGCTGTGATTTTCTATACGCACTTTACAAAGAGTCTTTTTGATATTCACAGGTAGAAAGAACCTGTTTGTTCCTAGTTAATACAATTTTTCATTATCGCTTATTGAGTGGCGCGCGCAAATTTTGCGACTGTATATCGAACTGTCGATTGTGATACAGCAATAGAAGTACTCGTTTTTTACATAAACACATGTTCGTCCATTTTGGTCTTCACTGACTCAGTGTGGGTCTCTTTCACCATGAATATAGTTCTGGCACCACCAGGTGGAATATTGGTCAGCCTATTGAGACGGAGAAGCGAAGTATGTCCTGGTGTTGGAGTGTCTTTTTGTGAGCTACGTGAGAGGATTTTGCTAGTGCTGCACAATGTTTGATGCGCATAAAGCTTGTGTACATTTTTATCTGAGATGTAAGCATATAAGCGTACATAATTTATACAAATACAAAATCTTGGCATTAGGTGTCATTTATGGGTCCGTGTGCGATGGTTTTTGACTGCATTCTGCATTTGAATCTGTATCTTATGTGGGCAGACTTACACTCGCTTAAATTGTTCCCTGAGGACATTGACAATTTCATTGAGGTGAAATAAAACTTGCAGCTCCCATTGATAAGATCCAAATTAAACACCGTGCCAAAATTATTAAACCCATTCGTCTAGTTTTTTACTTATTTTCGCTTCCATAACCATTAGCAATATCATCCGAGTTTTGAGGTGGCGAAGCACCTACCTCGGAAGGACCTTTAGAAATTCCGAGCAAGCTAAAGCATACTGTGAATTGGGTCCTGTCCCGTTCCATCTCACTGAACACTTCGAAATGTCAGGATAATGTGTTCTCCCTGTTAGTCGACGAACCATTCTGTACATTTAAAAAGCCCTTAGTCTTCTCATTCCGATTGAGAATAGTTTCTGTTCGTCACAAATCGGTTATTAAATATGTGAATGCATGCAAAGTCAAAGTTTTATTATGGGAAGTACTTGCAAGCGAGCACTTCTCTTGTCTCATGGTGTTACTCGCGCAAATGGATCGATTTACGGATCATAAAGAGATAAGGAATTTCACAAATTTTCTTTCTTGTGCTGCTATGGATTTCGGTATTTAAGACCTGANATGTTCCATCCAGTTTGTGCTTGAAAGAATCAGTTGTGAGCGCAGAAACAACGTGAGATGATAGAGAATCTTGAATACCGCTTACTGTGAGCGCAAATGAATGACGCCGGCACTCTAGTCAACATGTTTTGGAGGACTAATTTGAATGAGTGTTCCACCTTCCATGTCGAAGTGGTAGTCGCCGGCTCGATCGAGGTATACTTGACACCTTGGACGTTTGATTCCGTCCAATGGGCGTATGATCCGATGAGCTGGTCACCAGCCTCAAATGAATTGTGATTTTCATACTCCACCCCGCTGCCTCGCGGGTCACTTTCTGACTAGCCGAAAGCTTCGGTTGTGAATTCACCTGCGTTGGCCTGGGTAACCTAGCAGTATCGCGCCTCCAGGCAAGTCAATGACCTTTTTATAAAGGTTATTGTACCGTGATTTGTTCGGCATAGTCTGAATTCGGACGTGTGTGAAAATTAAAAAACAATACTACGATTGCATAGTACCCATGGTTTCCCAGCTTGAAAGGCTTAATCCAGATGGGGTCAAATGTAGGCTGACAACAAACTTGGGAACGGCATAGGTTCAAATTTGCCAACATGTCTTGTGGCGGTGGACAACGCCCTAGAGCAGTTTAAAGAACAACATAGGTGGTCTTGAATAAGGCGTACGGAAATTGATGATATCCCAGGATGTACGGAAATCGGGTTTTGTGGTGAAGAGGTGCGACCGTGTATTTTGATGCTTGCTCTCCAGTGATTTCCCCCGGTCTGTTGAACGAAGACTCACTTACTGACAAGATTTCCAAACACACCTGCTAAGTCCAATGAAACCACTAGAGATACGCTTGCCGACAGACACCTACAAGCATGTGGAGATTTCATTTCTTAACTGCGCTCAGACGCCAATCATCCGTCACAAAAGAACTCAAAATCTGTTTCTGGGTCATCCGCGCGCTCAAGGTTCAAGTTTTTGGGGTGCATAAAACTAATACTGAACTGAGTACTTGTGTTGTGGGATGCTACTCGTATTTGTGAATAGTATGTTTGGTGCGTGCACAAGGATGTGATAGGCAGCTTCTACTAAACATGAACAAGACCTCACGGAGCGGATTAACGTGTTCAACATTTTAACTACCAAAATGCCTACCTACCGTCGGACTACTCCATCATTTATCCTGCGTGGTTGTCGAAATTATGATTAGTCTGCTTCAAATGAGACACTTCGGTTTGTGTAACCTTTTTTACACATACTCGTATCTCTGAAATATTTCCTAACTCCAGCTTTGCCTTGCAGAATGGAAACACTTGCATTTCAAAAGTTTATGGAACACAAAGGGCACTTGTTCAGACTATCAAATTCGTTCCTATAAAACAACTTTGAAAGTTGTTTCTATTCTCTACGCCACACAACAACGGCCATCAGAAGTCATTCATTCGTTTTTCATAGCCACATAAGGGAAAAGGTTTCACTGCCGGCCCGCACATCTCCAAAAATGAACCTCTACAGAGGCCAAGCTATGCAGCACATATAAAGCCCTCTTCAATGATCTGTGCTGCGCGACCGCGTCTATTGCACCACAATTTCCTTGTATCAAATAAAAAGCAACTAAAGTATTCATGCTGTCGGCTGTTCTCGCCTCTGGACACATCTTTTCATGTTAGCGTTTCAAAAATATCTACCCGATCGGGTATAGTTTTCTCTTATTGAGCTAATTTCACCATAATTGCTTGTCACTTATTGCGTTATTTTCTGTCTGGATATTATACTTTTGCGACCCCTCGTGGCACACGTCTTCCATCAAGTCTGTCCTAGTGGCGACTTCCGTCTTCCTTATTCCCGCGATTTCCTCATCCGAAAATTGTGTTTATCAAATTAGTGTTAGTAAACGTTTTACAAACACGATACTCACTGAACACATCACTTGCTTAGGGATTTATTTCCCTATCACTCGATCCATCACCGTCACTCTTATACGCACTTACTCACCGCCGCATAAACATTTACCGCGATTCCCCAGTACCACTTTTAGTTTGTGATTTTGCTTAGCAAAGTAAAATTCTCAGAGGAAATTTGTAAGAACCTCGATGAGTAAAAAAATCTCCGTTTTCTTTTGCATTCCTTTTTGCCTAATACATTTCTTTGCATCAGCAAATAGATTTCCTGCGGCGCTTTGTAATGAAGTGTAAGTTTTTTCTAAATTCCAATGTAAATCAATGTGAAAGTAGTAATTTGTAATCCGATATTCTTCGACAGTACTATTTGCATCGGATACACCAGAACAGATGTAAGTTTAGTGAATTAAAAATGATATTCACTATGACCATGTAATCTATACTTCGGTTTCTGTGGCCATCATCTTTGTCAATCCCCTTCAGATGACTTGAGGCACCTGAATATCATAAACCACCATATCAAGTCCAGTTTACGTGGGCAATCTTCTTTGCAAACACCCCTCAAAATAGGTTTGGTCTCAGTGTACAAAGACCTTCGCCTTAGTGAATTGCATTTGCATATAGAAAGACGAAATAGAATCATTTAATGTATATTCTCTGTCGGAACAATAATATCGATTGTCCGATCAATTGACTTGGGAATATTGTTCAACATGGCCGTAGGTTCAAATGTCACTGTTCTAAAAGAGTATGACAAAATTTACAATGCCTCTAAATAAAACCTCGAAAATAATAAGGCGTAACATTCCTTACCGTACATGCAGATTTTAAATGAACAAAATGTGGTCACGCATGATTCTTTGGCCTCTAATAAAGTAAATAGCCAAATTTGCCAGAGATAGTACTTGAAATCAAATCCAGTAGAGTAATCAGGCGTTTTTGCCATTCAGCGTTCATGCAATACGTTTTGTAATAAAAAAGCCCTCTGTACTGAGGATTTTTTATCCCTCAAGATTTATGAGTAACCGGCGAAAGGTTGGTTATCACCAAAACCCATAAACACAATATAAAACTCTGTAGTGCAGAACCGAATTTCCACTCATTGGTTCAGGTCAGGTGGAATTCTAATCTTATTCTTTCGTAACCCCTTTGATTTGGGCATGTTGGTGCTTAAAAAATCTACTCGGCTTTTAGATAAATTAGGATGAAGAATCAGAATCATTGACAATATACAGATAGNGAATAATTTAATAAGAAAGAACAACAAGTACAACGGTCAGTCCACAGGAGTCTCTGCTTCTGACGGTTTCATCAATGGTTGACATTCACGTTGACGATTTTTCTTTTTTGGTCAGAGCGACTAAAAGGAAAATAATTGTAAATGGTGATCAGTTATTTCCCTTCATATCAATGTTGAGAAGATCGTTCGTGCCTAATAGAAGTAAATTAATTTAGTGTTTGACGGCCTCCCGATCGAATGAAAGTAAAATGTATTTATGCAGAACCAAAACCTAGCGCATACTTAAACCATCACTAACACTACATAGACACTTGAATGTATTTTATCATGCATACAAACTGATTTTTTTCTCAGTCTAACTAATTCCAAGAA